CAGTAGTTAAGTGTTTAAACAAGTTTGTGTTCCCGGTCACAAATGACCATTCCACTAAACGTCACCATAAAAATCCGAATTCATAGATATACTTTAATACCTGTGTTTGATTTCCAATTAAGTTCTAGTTAATATTGCTACATATGAACTTCGAGATGTTTTTACTGGTCTACGTCAATCTTTGATCGGATTGTATGTACTTGATATCAAGTTCTTCAAAAGAGTTCTTATTTTCAGTCAAAGACAAACACATGACACTTTCTTTACTGTTTATTACAGTACAGTGTACTTCGGGCCATAATTATCAATAACATTTGCTTTGAAACCCTTTTACCTTTTTTAAGTGAGAAAAAGTAGCACCTGTTATGCTCCCAGTCAAAAGTAACCATGCACATTTTAATTGCATAAAAAGAAAATTATCCCCAAACTGCTCTTGACATGTTCACAATATTCTAAGATAGATGTCTTTGTAAACGTTAACCAGTCTATCACATGCGTTTTTCTTAGCCTTGTGTCTTGTGATTGTCCCCACCATGGTCAATTTTGGGGGGAGCAGATCCTCAACATGTGCGTATGAAGTGAAGCATTTATAACATTACTTTCTGCCCCTTTAAAAAAACTTTTAAAATGGTCAAATTTTGACCGGACCACAAAACAACTGTTACTATTGTCAAGGTAACGCGCCTCGTCAGGCAGGAGATTAAGCACAAAATTGAGAAAATGGAATTGGATGGTTTAAGTCCTGAGACAAATTCCTAATTCGACCACTAGAGGGGAACAGAGGGATCCTAATGCAACGAGAAGCCAGCTCCACAAATCCTGAACCATGGGTAAACTAAAATAAATAGTAGTATCGGTTACAAGTACATGCCAGAGTCAATGCCTTATGAAAAGCCTTATGAAATAATTACGGAAATTGTCAGCTCATAAGAAATCGACTAAGTTTAAAGAATGTTTAAGAAAATGCAGCGCTCCTTTTCTTCTTGTTTTCCTTTTTATTTAGCCAGTCATTATAAGATGACATTATAAAGGAACAAAGATATTAATCAAATGCTTATGCAATGCTTTTGAAACTGCTTTGAGTGAAGAGTATTACCTTATGACTGATTACTTTCTCTCCAAGTAATGTCATATGATGTGTAACAAAAATTATGGGTTGAGAACCTAAGCGCCTACGAGAGAGATGGGCAAGCAACATGTCTATGTATATACATGATAACCCCGCTGCAAAATGCTACATGAAAAGACTGTCTATCATTGGGAGGCTGAAACAGCATACAGACGCTGCCCCCGGTCGACTCAAGTGAACATCGACTGAGATCTCAGAGCCTGCTCTGATTCAGCCCCGCCTGGAAAGGGAGTTCCCTTCAGTTGGTTCCCACCAGAAATTCCCACCAGAAATTCTCACCAGAAATTCTCACCAGAGAAAATTCAGTTCCCACCAGGAAAGATTGCGTAACCTGACCTGATACGACCTTGCCTGGGAAACTGTAGGCGAAGATTGCTCCCGCCTCCCTGCTTGGATTACGTGATGGGGAGGAGAACAACCTGAGACGTTCCGGACTGGAGCTATAAAAAGGGAGGGAGTGCGGAAACGAGAGGTCAGAAGGGTGCGGTCAGCGTGCTCCGGAGAGCTCCGCGACCGGGAGGAAGATCACCCTTCCCTCTTAGACTTAGAGGAGCGCGACGGACGGGAATGGGAGAACGGATGAATTGAGGATCTGAGAACCGGCGGGTGAGCCAAGCCCAACGGTACCTGCACAGATCTCAATCTCCGGAGAAAGGGCCAGAGGAACGTGGGAAATATTTGAGTGTCTGAGAGTCGGCGGGCGAGATGTGTCCAACGGCGCAGACCTCAAGCTCCGAGGGGGAAGAAATTCCCCTGATTGAGGAGTTTTTCCTTCGCGTGGTTCTTTTTTATCCCTTACAATTCCCCGAAGTTGTGCTCCTCCAAAAAGTTATCCCCTGAATTTCTCCTTTTAATTATTTTTCAACCCTACAATTGGATATACCACAAAGACCCCAGAATTGGATTTATACAAGAGGATTTTTATTCCAGGCCTTGTTGTTCGAGCG